AGGAGAGGAGATGCAGGAGGGATGCATCAGTCCCAAAAGTATTCAGCTCCTGTGAGGAAGCAGGTGCAAGCAAAAGTTTTAAAAGACCATGTGAGAAACTGTTGCATATCTCAGCAGGGACAACAATCAACAAAATGCTGCCTAAGGATAGATGATAGCATTATTTAGGCTCAAATGCCAGAAAAGTTGTTGCAAACCAAGTGATCCTTTCTACAAAATATATCACAAAAAGGTAAATCATGCTGCAAGAGCATTGGCTTACCCCTCAGCAGCACCCATCAGAGGTCTTTGCTTAGGAACAGGTCCTCACTGCTGATGCTTACTCCCTCCCAGAGCTTCAGTCTGGTGGCTCTTCTCCGTGCTAGGAAGGGTGCTGGGGGCATCCCCAAAGCCGCCTGTGCTGTATGGGAAACTAAAGTTATTGCTTTGGAAAGCAGAATCATTCATCCTCCCCGGGAGCAGGAATTAGTGGCAGTAAGGGGCCATGACAGATATATGGAGAGCATAGGATCTTCTTACAGTGCTGCATTCCTAGGAAACCATCTTCCACCTGATTTGACACAAACAATAACTCTTTCACTGGGCCACCATCAGTGAACGGGGTGGGCTGAACCACTTTCTCTTCTTGTTATTGTTTCAAACACCCCTGTGCTGGTAGTGCCATGTCAGCTGTATCAAAACTAAAATGTCTCTTCCTGTGGGATTTTTTTCCGCCTTGTTTTTCTACAAGAGCAAAAGTCAACATGACAACTTTGCTGAGCCCTGTTTCTGTCTCTTTTTTATCTGCGTACCTGATGCCAATGGAAACATTAGCCACTCTTTCAAACAGCAAGCTGCACAGGCCAGAAAACACATGTGGTTTGTGTTCTGTATATATAGTTATTACATTAAAATCATGCCTACTTGCTTCTTTTCATCCTTTTATTTTTAAAAATAGTAAAAAATTGTGGGTATTTGAGGGAAGATTTCAAGCTGAAACACTTTCTAAGTGTTGTTCTGGTAAGAGGAAAGCCAAGAGTAGATTCTCAGCTGCTTGCATAGATGTGGTTACTTCCTGAGAGTGAGGATTGATGCCAGGGAAGATCTAGTCTTGTGGGTTCAAAGATCAACCCATATACAGTTTCTGCTCCCTATGTGTCTTCCATTTTATGGGCAAGCACATGTTATCTATTGTTAGCTCTGTAGAGCCAAAAGAAGTGCAGGAGGAAAAGCTGGACTGTGTCCCACCTCATATCACTGTATTTCTGTGTAAGTTATTACATAGGTTCAGATGCATGTATGCTATAGGTTTAGGTATTAGAGATATCTAATGTATGTTATGATACATATAACACATATTGGTGCAGTCAGTGAAGCTCTGGCAGACTGTCCATCATCTAAGGCTGAGGGTTTAGATTAGATATTAGGAAAAAATTCTTTACTGTGAGGGTGGTGAGACACTGGAACAGGTTGCCCAGAGAAGTTGTGGATGCCCCATCCCTGGAAGTGTTCAAGGCCAGGTTGGATGGGATTTGGGCAACCTGGTCTAGTGGAAGGTGTCCATGCCTGTCACTGCAGGTGGGTTGAAATTAGATAATCTTTAAGGTCCCTTCCAACCTGAACCATTCTATGATTCTATAAGGATGCCTGGCTGCCTCTGCCAGCCCTTTAGGGCATCAGCAAAGTGGCTATTGAAATGTTTTGTGACCATTAAAATGCATGTGTTGTATTGTCCACTTTTGTGAAAGGGCCTTTATAACAATCAAAAACATTAAAATCTCCCCTCAGTGCCCACATTTTTGTCAGACCAATAGAAAGTAATGCACTACGCAGTGTTGAGTGATTTCATTTTAAACTGCAAACCCAAACTGTATGCTGTATTGTGCAAACATTGCCATTAAGTGAAAAAATACATCTGTATGTTATGATACAATTTTATTGGTGGGTGTTGACATGAAGTTTCAGCCTTCAATATTGGATTAATATATGGGATTATGTGCAACACATGTAGTAATCAGTGGGTTTTTAAAAATTCATCACATTATTCTTGTTCTGTTAAACAGTCACAGGTTTTCCAGCTAATTGTGAATATTTTCTTTTTAAGGCATGAATTCTAGTGAGTGAGGGCTGCCTTATTCTGATGGAATAACTCTTTGAGCCATCTTCACTGCTTTGCATTGAGGCCCAGGGTCAGCTCAGTATCTCAGAGGGCTTTGCTCCCTAATGCCAACTGTCCCAGAAGCCCCAGCACAGTGGCAGTGCTAGAGAGGTGGTTTATAGGCTGTGCTGGAGAGAGATGTACTTCTCACGAAATGCTGTATAAACCAGCATTGGCTGTTGTTTATCACAGTCACAGAATGGGTAAGATTGGAAGAGACCACTGAAGATCATCTAGTCCAACCTCCCTGCTTGAGCAGAATCCCCTAGAGCACATTGCTCAGGATTGTGTCCAGGCAGCTTTTGAATATCTCCAGGGAGGAAGACACCACAACCTCTCTGAACAGCCTCTTCCAGTGCTCTGTCACCTGCACAGTAAAGATGTTTTTCTTTATGTTTAGGTGGAACCTCCTGTGCATTACTTTCTGCCTGTTGGCCTCTCATCCTATTGCTCAGCACCACCAGGAGCCTGGCTCCATTCTCTTGACACCCTTCAGCTCCCTTCAGCTACTTCTATACATTGATGAGATCCCCTCTCTGTCTCCCCTTCTTCAGTCTAAGCAGGCCCAGCTCCCACAGCTTTTCCTCATAACTGAGGTGCTCCAGTCTCCTAATCATCTTTATATCCCTCTGCTGGACTTGCTCCAGGAGCTCTATGTCTCTCTTGCAACAAGGAGCCCAGAACTGGGCACAGCACTCCAGGTGAGGCCTTACCAGGGCTGAACAGAGGGGCAGGATCACCTCCTCAACCTGCTGGAAATGCTGTTTGTAACACACTCCAGAATACCATTGGCCTTCTCAGCCACAAGGGCACACTGCTGGCTCTTAGACAGCTTGTTGTCCACCAAGAGCCCCAGGTCCTTTTCCACAGAGCTGCTTTCCAGTAGGTCAGCCCTTAGCCCATACTGGTGTCTGGAGTAATTCTTACCCAGGTGCAGGACCCTGCACTTGCCTTTGTTGAATTTCATAAAGGTCTTCTCTGACCATCTTTCCAACCTGTCAAAATCCTTCTGAAGGGCTGCACAGCCCTCTAGGGTATCAGCCACTCCTTCCAGCTTTATGTCACCAACAAACCTGCTGAGGAGTCATCTGTCCATTCATCCAAGTAATCAATGAATAAATTAGACAATACCGGACCCAGTATTGACCCTTGGGGAACACCATGAGCTACAGGCTTCCAACTAGGTCTTGTGCCACTGATCACAACCGTCCGAGCCCCACTGTTCAGCCAGGTCTCAATCCACCTTGCCATCCACACATCTATACCTCATGTCAAGGTAAATATCCCAAACACCTGCTGATCTCACATTCAGGAGAGAGATGCAGAGGAAGGCAACAGGGTTCAGTGGTCGTTCCACTGCCCACCAGTCCCATGTCACATCCATCCTCCCTCTGCTTTGCATGGGGGGAAAGCCTCCCCAGAACCCCTTTATGCCCATCCCAGGTTATCTTTTCATTTTTAATATTTTCTCTTTCCCCTGTTACAAAGGGGACAAAGCCAGCTTCAGCTGAGGATGCCTCGGTGTTGGCATTGGCAGATCCTGTGTGGCTTTCCATCTGATTCCAGCTTCACCAGAGCCATCTACTGAGGTCAGCTCCCGGTACGAGACAATAGCCATCACTGACTTAGATAAGCACAACAGTATTTTCTTGATGCTTACACTTTGTCTTTCCTCCCTCCTTTTAGCAGGTGAAAGTCTTTCCCTTCTCCAGCATCTCCCATGTTCTGCCTCTGATGAATGCATGTGTTGTGGGGCTCTAGTAAGGCAAAGTGCAGAGAGAAAAAAAAAAGGGAAATTTGGAGGAAGGAGCAGATTTTAGCTAGTTACAAAGAAATTAGAGATGCTGGTGTCGTCTTTTCCTGCATGATAAGGCTGCAGAGGTGAGTTGGAACCAGGTGGAGACAGGCACTGCTTTGTCCCCTTTCCCAGCATGTTTTCCCAGGAACAACTGGAGCAGCATCAAGGACAGGCTAGCAGAGGGAGCAGATACGGAGGCTCGGGGATAGAAGGCTGAGCTGGCCAGGCACCCCTTGGGGTGCAGCCTGCAGCCCGGCACAGCTGCCCCTGCATCACTTCGGCAAGGACCACTGCTGCCTTGCCCCGAACCTGGGCCGAGATGCTGGTGACCCAGCATGTGTCTGTGCGGCTACGAATAAAACTTCAGCTGTGTGTCATTTAGAAAGACCCTAATTTTAGCTAGCGATGCGCATCATCAGGGTGCCCCAGCGCGCTCGTCAGGCAGCGCTTGCTCCCCTTTGCTTGGGCAAACCGGGCGTAAAATGCTTTTTTTTCTGCCGGAGGTTGCGGCTGCGGGAGCGAGGGGAAGCGAGAGAGCCGTTTCCACACAGGGACGGGGCGGAGAGGGAGCGGGCGGAGAGGGGGCGGGCGGGGGGCCCAGCCCCGGCGAGCCCGCGGTGTTTGGGTTGTCCGGGCGCCCGCGGTGTCTCCAGCGCGCAGTGTGACTGATGACCTATTGAAATGATTTCGGAGCAGTGCGGGGGTTTCCAGGACAACCAGCGCTCCCCGGGCCCGCGCCTGGCCATGTGACGGCGCCTGACGTCACGGGAGGCTGAGCCCGCGGCTCGGCCGCGCAGTCAAAGCCCGGGGAAGGCGCTGGATGCTGGACTCATCCCCTTCGCCGCTCGTCCGCAGGGGCTGCCGGAGCATGGACTGTTAAAAACTTGCATTTCTGCAGCGTGAGGTAACCATTTGCTTTGTGTTCTCATCCGATTTGCTTGGTTTTTTCCCTTTTTTTTGGAAAAAAATAGAATAGAAAGCAGCTTATCGTGACTGGTATTTTTTTACTTGTTTGTTTTGGCTGGAAGTTTGCCTTGATGAACAAGCCGGGCACTATCAGATAAATGCAAAGCAGCTTCCAGTTACTAATTCTGTGGGCAGACTGCAGAACGGAGTTAAATTTAGATTAATGATCCACGAAAGGAGAATAAAGTGATATTGTTCTCATTTGACACTTGAGGAATATAAATGAACACGAGTAATCCTAGGCTAACGTGTTTGAGAGGTAAAAGAAATGATGTTTAGGCACTGTGTTGGTTTGGGCATCTCTATGGCTTTCTTTATACCTTTGTTGGAACTTCTGTTTGTTTCAATGCTGCCCGATTCAGGCAGGTTTGTAACCGATGTGCTCGGTGAGGGGGAAGCACAGCGGATGCTCGAAATGCAACTCTCAAAGTTGGAGCATTTAAATCATCTTTGTTCACACGGAGTCCCCGCGACCCGCGCTGCCCGGGCTCTCTGCCCCTCGCCGGGGCACGCGGCACTCTGCACTCTCTAGTGTTTACAGAGGGAAGGATCAAGAGCTTCCTGAAAATTATCTGAAATATGCCAAGAGAGCAGCATTGCTGTAACACAGGCTTTTACCCTTTTTCTCACACGCACACACAGGGCTTGGGTTTTGCCTTTTCTTGGGTTTTTTTTTCTGTTGTGGGTTGAGAGCAGTTAGAATAGCTAAAAAAAGAACTGCAGCATGAGCAGCATCACAGTGATTGAAAAAATGAAATGCTATTTGGGTCTTTTGTGAAAACAAGAGGGAGTTTGGGTCTGTTTCTGTATTACACTTACTCCAAGGCGGCTGTTGCAGGGAAGGAGATCCCAGAGCGCCTGAAGTTCAGTGCCACAGGCTGTGTTTGTGTGGGAACATATAGATTAATTTTAAGAACAGATTACAGCTGAAGCATCGTGTGCGTTGTTTCCTGGAAAAGTATGTTAGATCATTCTTATCTCCTCTAATTGTATACTCCTGTTCCCTTCCTCCCAAAGTTCAAAGGGTTTATTGATAATGGTAATGATTCTCTAAAGCAGCTGCTGTTCTGAAACAATCATAGAGCTACAAAACAATTTAAAACATAGGGCAGTAAGACATAAATAAAAAAATCTATTTAAATTATCCTAATGTTATCAAATGCAGCAGAAATAATTGTTTCAGAATGGGAGCCAAGGCAGACATTAAAACTGAAGGCACTTTTCTAAGGAAAGTTATGGCTTAATGCTCTGGATTTCACTGCATTTGGCATTCTTAACAGACCAACAAGGGTAAATGCATCTGAAACCTCTAAACCATTTCACTTGGCATTATCTCATCAGTTCTTTCCAGTTTAACTCTTATGCAATCAGTGTTTTGGGGGGCTGAGGTATATTTTCTTTATTAAATTCCTCACCTGATGCCAGTGCATGAGTGCATGGGCAATCTTAACTGGTTCCTCACAGGTGAGTTTAACCAAGGCTTACAGGAGCTTTGCTGCTTCAGTGTGGAGGTGCTTGTACCCCGTGCACAGCCCTCCCATGGGGGGGTGAGGCTCTCCGTGTCCTCAGCAACACGACTGGGCTGAGCTGGGCACGGCTGCTCCCCAGCTGGCGTGGGGAGCTATGCTTCAGCTGATGGCAGTCTGTCCCCCTCCACCTGCATGTGAGTTCCCCCAGACGCTGGGTGGTGGGGTAGGAGGGGAGGGTAAGGGAAGGTGGTCAATGCAGCCCACCACCCTCTGAGGTCTGCTTGTTCATCAGCTTGTACAGGTGGGGCAAGTCTGATGAGGGACTGAGGCATGGAGTATGGGGTCAGATTTGAGCTGAGCAGCACCTGCCATTCAAGAGAAGGCATTCAGTCTCATGTCTAAAGGATTTGACTCCATGTATAGCTGCAGTCGCCTGCCAGGTTTGACTTGAGTCGTCAGTGTGGCAGTGATGCTCAGTGTGGGCTGGGGCTTATTCTAATTCATTTAGGCTTGAATACAGTTTCCTGTAGCATTTGATGCCTTGAAAACACCTGCACAGGGAAAAATAATTGATGGAACCTTTGCTCAAGAGCTATTCATTAGCTATATTTTAAAAATAGGTTCCTCATCTCCAGTTGGAATGGACATAGTGATATGGAATGGACTTAGTGATACTAAGCAAGTCTTCAAAAGACTCTAACTTGACCTGTGAGAGAAGGGCGATAAACTGCTTCATGTTTTAGCAGAAGGGTCCTGGACATGTTATGGCAAGAGATCTGAGAGGCAGTGTTACAGGGGAAGCTGGTGAGTGTGGCTGAGATTGCGCAGGGATGTGTCCTGCCTGGCAGAGTGACCAGCTCTGTCCCCTCTTGTTGATTCTTTAGGGCTTTGGGCATCTCATCAGCCGAGGCTCCACCTGCTAAGCCCTGGAGGTGGAGATGGATGAGCTGCAGGCAGGCAGGCAGCTCACAGGCAGTGCAAGAGTGTGAAACTGGAGAAGGCACGTGTCCCTGCTTGGGAGAAAAGCAGGAAATGGTGTGTGAGAGTTGTCCTGGGGCTCTGTGTCTCTGCTCGGTGATTTCATGCTCTCATTTTTGCCAGGCAGATCTGTACCAAACCCTTTTGACAAGCACTCGGATTTCACCTTGGGTGTGTGTGAAGTTGCCAGGCAATGCAATGCTAAGCATCCCATCTTCACTGCCCTGCCGTGGTTTCACCCACTGTGAGAAAAGAACAAACAGCGTGTAGGTTAACTTCCCACCACCAAGAGAGGGGCACGTGACTGGAGCTCATCCCTTACCTTCTGCCCACAACTGTGACACTGCCAGCTTACTTGGGCTTGAAATCCTCTGACATAAAGAGAAAAAACATGAGATGCACATGGGCTGGGCAACACTCCACCTTCTTCCAGGGAGGCTAGATTGACCTCATACCTCCCATCAGCCTTCATATCATTTGCGAGTGTCACCTCCTTTGCACACACACAAGGAAGGGTTGATCCCTTCAGATGGTCTTCTTGTCCGTGGTGAAGGGCAAGCAGACCAGCAATTCCTGAGGAATCAGAGCACTTCACCTTAGGAGGGACATTGGCTAAAAACAGGACTGAAATCTCCTGGAGTCACTTCTCACTAAACTGGATACAGCAGGGAAATTAAAAACAGATGCAAGCTGTTGATGCCTCAAGCCTCATAATAATGACACACTCAAGCCTTTAGTGTACTCTACCTTGATCTGGTTGAGTTGATGGGCAATGTCAATCTAAATTTAGACTAGAATCATAATAAAACATTAAAAAACCCTTGCAAGGCAGAACACTGACTCCTTGACTTTTTCAAACAGAATATGATTTCTGCTGTCTTTTTAAAGGTCCTAGCCACTACTTAGGCAATATTCATGGGAGGAATAAAATCCTCTGTACAGGGGTGGAGTTGTCAGACAGTGGGAACTGATGTTGCAGTATGGAGTTTCAGGATCTTAGATTACTTATCGCAGAAGTGGGTTCCCACTCTGCTAAAAAATCATTACGCTGTGTGAATTTCATGTCTGCATCAACATTAGCAACAACTGGTTTAAATGATAGCTGACCTGCAGTAGAGATTTGGCATTTTAACCAACAGTCGCTTTCCCAATTAAATGCAGATGCCATGCATAGGGTACTCTGAATGCAAAATAAAAGTTGACCTGGCTGTTGCTTCCAAGCTAAAACAACAAAAATGCTAACTCTGGAATGTTTTTGGTAGTCATATTTTAGAAATAATCTTCCATGGTGAGCCAAAATCTATGCAGACTGTTATAGTCAGATAACAGTTTAAAAAATAGACTATGTTTTGGCTGTACTTTTGCTGCTGTTAAATTTATCTTCTTAAATAGCAGGGAGTATGAGTTGAGGTTTGAGAAACAGTAATTTTGTAATTATTTTATATGGATCGAAGTATTCTGTCATCGAATTTGCATTTCAGACAGCATTACAGTATGAAAATATAATTAGAAACTGTAATTCAGGAATTGCTGAATATGATATTTCCCAGAGGGAACGCTGTGAAGAAGCTGCCCTCACTACAACTTCAGAAAATGTTGAAATCCTATAGGTGGAAAATGTAAAGGCTGAGTTGTAAAGTTCCTCTCCCTTCTGTGGTCTCCACGTGCCGTCAGCTTTCTGCCGAACTTCATTTTTTCATAAGATTCATTTTCACAGAAACATCTAATCATTAAGACCTGAAGGGCTCAGATCCTGTTCTGCTGAATTTCAGTCTGGCTGTGCTGATAGCTGCTGAATTGCTTTCAGCCACAAAATGACACTGAGATAATGTAAGGATCTGATTTACATGCAGAAAAGCCAAGAAGCTTGTCGTTTATTCTAAAATGCTGATTTTAATTTGCTCAGCAGCCGGAATTCCCAGCAATGCCTTCTTTCACAGAAGACAGCTGAGGATGGGTCTCAGTTTAGCTCTGTTTCTCTCCTTTTGTAATTCAAGATTCTTCACTGTATGTGTTCACATGTGCAGTTTTAGCTGTATATATCTCAGTGGTTTTTACTATTCTTGTTACAATCCTTGGCTTATCATGTACATAATAGCTGGAAACAAACACATTGTATCTTTTTCAGTTGGGCTTGTGTTGATAAATCCCTGAGATTCTGTCTGAGAGACACACTTCTTAGGAGAGCATCATGCATGGCCAATTTTTTCCACCACCTGGTTGGGGCATTGGGCAGATCCTTCAGTGGAACCAAGCCTGAGAGGTACAAAGCAAAGCTGGCGCTGGGAGGAGGTAGAAGCTGTGTGTGGGGTATGCTTGATGCTTTGATGTCCCCATACGTTTGTCACAGTCCTGCTGAGAGACAGTCACAATGCTAGTCCAGAAGAAATGTCAGGACTGGTGACATGGATCCTAGTGACTCAGGGACACTGTCATCCCCAGTGTTCTCTGAGGATCAAAACCATTTTCCTGTGCCCGCCCAGGGCCCTGG